TTACCATTGTATACATAAAGATAAGAGATGAATGCATTGACTGCTCAAATAAACAAGAAACAGAAAAACAGATAAAACATATGTATTAGATAAAATGAGCTATAACATTATTGCCCATCCAAAGGTATTAAAAGTTGTTCTGGACATCAATATACAAAACTACCAAAAAAACAGCACAACATAAACAAAATTCACGTTAAAAATAAACAATAGTCTTGGACATGCAACAATACGAACTGTATACACAGACTTGCTCTACCCATTTTATATTATCACTGCACAAAATCCAATTGCTCCCAACAGGAAACAAGCTTACTGTATAGTTGTGTTTAATATACCGAACCCAGGGAATACAGCATTTCTTGTATACATTTTTCTTGGCCACAGGCATTTGTAGATGCCTTGCTGAAGGTAGCATTTAGAAATGGGAATGACCAGGGTGGGAGGGGTCATCAATGATAAGCTGAACTCTCTTTTGAACTGCAATTTAATATACTGTAGCTCATCAAGCTGTTTATATGGTCGCCCAATTCTTTTTCTAGCAAAGTTAACAATTCTGTCCACTTTCTCTTTACTGTTTTCAATTATTTACAATTTCTGGCCAATTTCCCTTTAATACCTTTTCAATTTCTTAATACCTGGACTACCATTACATATCGTAATACCAAAAGGTAAGGATGATTTGGACCAACATTCTATAAACTCTTTCTCAAACACTTTGAGCTACCTCAAAGCCTTACAGCTTCCTGATGGGCTGACTAGTCTCCTTATGCAAATAAGATTTTAAATAGCAGCAGTAATAAGGGTTTTACAAAACACACTTGGAATTCAATTTTCCTGCAAATCATTGTAGCAATAATTTTCTGTTTTCTGATTGTCACTGACATGTACAAACCATTCACCGTTTCCCTGATGAAGTGTGATCATTTCTATGTTTCCATATCCATGGAGCAGATATTGTTAATATTAGAAACCATCAGTACATAAGCATGTAATGCAATTTAGAAATTTTAACGAATTTTCATACTCCCACATACTGTATAAGGCTCTGGAAAAAAGAAAATTCAAAGCCAGCATTTCTAATCCGTCTCTTTTTCTTGAGGTAATTAGACCGTACAGTATTTGATTGTAAAATAATTCTTGTTCTATGAATATTGAGTGAACTTGTGGGAAAAGCTGGTGTCTTACCTGCTGGAGTCTTCAGGACAAGGAGAAAGAAGATGACTTGGAACATTATGAGTATATTGACACTATGCGAAAACCACCAGTGTCTGAGGGTCTTTGCCAGCCTCTTTATATGCACTGAACAGGAAACAGTGGTCAAATGAATTCATTTAAAAACCAAAACTGATGTTGTGCTTGGTTTAGCTATATACCTTTACCTTATAAGAAAAGAGGGGAAATCCAATAATTAACCTTTAAATTGTTTGTTTCTTTTCATTTTAGTTTTTAAGACAATTTGGAATTCAGGGTAGTACAATACAGTATATTTAACTGGAAGGGACCATTTACTCATTGATGAAATACTCAAATAAATACCACTTTGCATATGGTCCAACAGCTTTATCCAGTACAGGATCGCAGGGGACACTGGAGCCTAACCTAGCAAGCAGTGGACACAAGGCAGGATACACCCTGGACAGGGCAAATACAGATACAAACACATGCTCACTTATTCCAGGAACAAGTTTCCAAGAAAAATGGGGAGAACATGAAAACTCCACACAGCACGATAATAAAGTAACAGGTTGAACACAAAATAGAAAATGTATTCAAACAAAAATATTCTATTGCACAAAAACAATTTAATACCAGCAATAATCTGAGTTTTACAAAATACACCTACAATTCAATTTCTTTTAAAATCAACACAGCAGTCATTTTCTTTTTGTAGACAGATTGCTCTCTGTTTGCTTCACGTGACTCCACTCCTGCATGGGTTGTCCTTCATAGGGCATACTCCTGCTATGCCAGTTCTTGTTCATTCAGCTGGGTGGACTGGAGCAAATGGGGAAAAGTGCTTCATTTAAGGTACAAGAGCAGTGTCTGCATCAGAGGCTTGTACCCACAAACCCCCAGTTATGAGGCCAGATAATAATTATAATTCTTCTATAATTCTTCTATTATTTTCTTCTGTCTTTAACTGTGGCATATATTCCATATAACATGAAGGGGAACATTGCAGACAGAACTGAGAATTAGTATTATATAGCATGAATGTTGTGATGAGTATGTAAGATAATAATCAAGATTATAAATGTGTTTAATCATGAGAGTATATTAGGCAGGCGCAGATATGATATGAAAAACTATAAATATTTTGTATGTAAGTATGTAAGTTAAGTAAATTAAATGTTGGCTTCTATCATCCAGTCTCCTGGGTTGGAATTGGTTTTAATCATACCTTTTCTGTTTACAGACTATACTGAACTTCACGACTGCAAGTATTTACTTAGTGAGAAAATGACAAAACTTTGATCTGCTTTTTAGAAATAATTTGTCACTGTAAACAATGAGACATTTTTGCATTCATTTAAACACCCAAATTCTTTAATGCAATAATCTGACTGAGCCACTTTACTGAAGGGCACAACAGTAGTGTCACACCTATAAGTTGAGCCCACAGTCTTCCAGTTAGGTGTCCAAAAACTTACAGTACTATACCACAGCACTACTTCAAGAACACACTTTTCAGAGCCAGCATTATGTGGATAAACAACTAAAATATTTTGAAAGCAAACAAAGGAAATCATCAGTACCTTTCAGTATTTTCATTACTTTTATCAGGTCCCCTTATAGTCCAACCTACTCAAGTGTATCAAGTGAAAAGTGTATCGGTCTCGGTCTCGGTCTCTGGGCTGTTTTCACATAGCATCTATTACTATCTAGATAGACCAAGAAAAACTCCTGCATATACAGACAAAAGAATTGATCTACCTTATTTTTTCCTTGTATGGTACCTTCCTTCAAACTGTGAAGTTTGTGATTAATATTATCCTGAGTACAGATTTCAAACTCTGTGAGTTGTTGCAAGAATTTGGTCAGGAGATGTAAAAAAAAAGACTTTTCAAATATAATTGTGTCAGAATAAATTTTGCTCTCTGAAATATCAGTTTTTAATATACCAGTTTCCCTAGTTCTTCACACCCTAAGCCCAAAACACAAATTCCTAAATTCTTGCTCAATAAAATTTTAGTTACTCCTTGTTTTATTTTCTGCAGAAGTTGCCATATACTGTATTTTGTATAAGCATATCTATAAGCATGTTGACTCCTGTGTCATGGCTACATCCTTTTCCTTTGACAGAATCAAAGCAGTGACATTTTGCATTTATAGTATCTGATTGTGCTGTCTAGCAGTTTCACAGGTGCTAGAAACATTTGCCCACAGTTTGTCAGAACTCCTACAGTCATCAGTGTACCCACAGTCCAGCACTAGCCAAGTAGATACAATAACTTCATTCTACTAAATACTAGCAATTACATTTCAAAAGAACAGAACAAAATACTTTCCCATCTTTGTGTGTTTCTTGCCGCATTACTATAAAAAGTCAACACGCCATCTTGTATTCAAAAACACCAACTTTATTCAAAAACATACTTGGCTCAGTACGGACATCCAGGCATTCTTCCTTCTGCAGTACCAGAATAAATAAAAAAGCTCCACTTCCACAATTATTTCAGGTGTCTCTAGCATCCTCTTCAGTTTCATTTTAGCTGCCCTTCCCTGGCTGTGTTGGACAAAACTGGAAAAATCAGGAGAGAGTGCCAGGACCCTATGACCTACTGTACACAGTCTAAGGCCTATACAGTATGTCTTCTCTGGTTGGTCAGCTGCTTTGCTTTGATGAGCTAAAATCCCAGGACCTGAATAAAAGGCAATATCATGGTATCATGATATCATGGTCTTTCCTTCCTTTCTTTCTTCTTTTATTCTCCTTCCTTTCTCCAAAATCAAATGTATGAATGTCTTTCATGGATAAAGTTTACACAGTAGCTATTAAACAAAAAATTGAGACACAAATTCACAGCAACAGAAATCATATTCTTAACCTTACTCCACAGCAAGTTAAGAGCTGACATTTTGAACCAAAGACAGAGATTTAATTCCAAATAAGAATGAGCATGGTAAAATAATAAAAAAAACTGAGCAGAAATGTGAATATGGGAAAAAAACACACACAAAATAATCTACAAAGACTTAAAAAAAAGGCCAAAGTAAAGCCAGAATTTCATGATTCTTCTTCTGGGCTCCAAAACAGTAGTTTCTATTAAAACAATGTGCCCTCTCCATGCCTTCCCCACACAGTGCCAAATCTGAAAAAATCATGCTTTTTTAGGAATCTGGTTGGTCTCTTTCAAACCCTACATGCAGATGCTATTGCAGGGGAATTATTAAAATTAATAATAAAACTATTATTCACCTCCATTTCTCACACACATATTTGAATAGGATATAAACATCAGAACCTATAATAGAGTAAAATCTTTTGGCAACATTATGAAATGCTGTTTCTGTAATCAAATGAAAGTCTAGAGGCATTTCTAAAGCAAAAAACAAAAACCTAAGAAAAAAAATGAAATACCTAATCAAATGGAGGCTTAATAACTCAATAGCAATTGTGTAATCTTATCTAGTAAGCAGGAAACGTAATTAACAGGAAACATTTTAAAAGTGTTGTTCTAAATATGCAGACATATACTTTGTAATGCATTGCTTTGTCACTGAGCTGTGAAATGAATGTGTGTGGTTTTGACAGGTGGTAAACAGGGCAATTTATTTTTGCAGGAAACTAACCCATTTTCTGCACAAGAAACAAGAAGACACAAAGTGTAAGGTATCAAAAGTGAACTTGACATAAGAACAAAATACAGGTCATATACGAGAAGAAGCCATTCTGCGAGTCTTCCATCTGGCTCTTTGTTGGTAGTTAATTGATCCAATGACCTCATCCAGCTGTTTTTCCAAAGAAATCAGAGAATCAGTTTTGTTGCTATGGAACTTGTTCTCCCATGACCCTCTGGGTAAATACTGTAAGTGCCTTTTGTTTCCAGTTTTAAATCTAGTGCTGTAGATAATAGAACTGTGCCTAACACAACCCCTTTAATGAAAATTATTTTGATTAATTTATTTACCTTATCACTCTCACCTCCTTTATAGGTCAAAGTGTTACATTGTTTTGGGAAATTTGTCACGCTGAGATCTTTACTTTTGGGGGAAAATAATTTGAAGCTACTTCAGTTGGAAATAACCAACTGTAAAATTCAGTACAGCTTGACATGGTAGACCATGGCACCGTTTCACCCATTCTGTTACATCTAGCTCACTGCAGTTGTTTCCTTGTTATTCTTTGCCAACATGGCCTTATTTTTTTCAAGCAGGAAATGCTGCTGCCAGAGTAAGTGAACCATAACTCCCTAGCTGACATGATCCCACAGGTGTCTGTGCACTGTCATAGTTAAAGCACATTGGTTTTATCATGCAATCCAGCAATGCAATAATTCATTACTACTTGAACCCCAGGACTGTTATTTAAACTGAATGGAAATAGAGGATTAGGTACTTGGTTTCTAGGTGCTCCATAACAATAACCTTTTTATATAGACAATAAAATCCAAGGGAAACGTATCACTCCATGACCAGTAGTGTGTAAAAACAACTTTAACACATTGGATCTGCTCTTACATGCTTAAAGAGATTCTGTGATCTATGTTTCCAATACACTAATATTCACAGTACCATTAAGAATGGTATATTTAACATGATGCTGAATTGAAAATGGGAATCCTTCTTCAGAAAAAGGTCCTCATGCATTTTAACAAGCCCTGAGGGCTTTTAACCTTTGCTGCCAATACTGCATCTAATGCACTGTAGTCCTTGCGAAGTAAACAATCAAATATTGAATGGAATCATAACCTACTTAACATTAGTATATTTTTTCATTTTTTTTTAAATTGAAACTGTAAGGTGTCCATTTGAAATCTCAGAGGTACTTAATAGTTAAAACAGACAACCTTTAAGGTGAATAGAAATCCTTTTGTGTCACGTAGCAAGATTTCTGTTTGAAAATATAGTACAATAACTACCTGAATAAACTCATCTGCTTTGCATTTAAATACTGAAATAGTGAAACCATGTTATTTTTGTTGATAATCTATTATGGTTTTCCAATGTCAATGCTAAATTTTTTATTTCATGATTTTAGAGTTCTTTAGAGTTTTGTAATACAGTATGTTCAAGTAAACTGTATAACAAAACTGGTGGAGCTTTATTTGGAAAGTTGCACTAATGAACATGACACTTAATTTCAATGTAGTGTTTAATACCAATAGAATTAGTTTTAAATACTATAAGTTACATATCGGCACTGCCTTCCCATCTTAATAAATAAATTGAAAAATTAAGCTGTATGCTTTCTTAGTATTACAGGCATAAGGCAATAAACTGCAAAAATGTAGTGAAAAAACCTTTAATGTAGTGAGTTGCTACTTGAAACAGCCACCCATCATTAAAAGCGACTAAATCTGCTGAAGACACACCAGAGTCTATCCTAATATTTAAAACGTTTACTCGTGCTATGCCAAACGTCTGTTATTATATAATAACACAGACCGACTTACAGTGAAAGGCTAATTTCTTACCTGCAAGATACAACAGTTGTAGAAGAAATAAACTGTGATGTAAGACACGACAAGCCTATAGTCACTGAAAAGGTTTAAGCATCCTAAACAGCTTCTTTTATATACATTTGGCAGGAAAATGTGGTAAGCAAATCTTGATAGTATAGAATGACACCTAAGACTTATGCATAATGAGTCATACTTCAACTGAGTTCAACCGTTTTTTTAATTCTTACTTTGTGGGTTCGAACAAAAAGCATGTGCAAATATGATACCCACTCTGCTCTAAGGCTTAAACATTATGCTTCTCAGAGGTTTTGGGACCACTGTTACTGTTTTTTTTAAAGGGAGGTTTAAAACTTGAAAAGAAAAAAAAGATAGTGATACAGAAAAAAAACTTTATTGAAATTGATTTCTCATGAATCCATAATAAGAATGTTAAATATTTGTTAATTCCCCATCAATCAAGGTAAAGATATATCCATATTTTAAATGTGGAAAGAAACAGTTCTCTCAAATAATAACATTATCTAACTACGCAGACCTCCAGGCTTATTCGGATCTTCATTATGCCTCCTCTTGCCTTTCCAAAATAAGTTAACATTTTCTGCACTACTTAAGGCAAAACATTGCATTTTAAATATATGCTGAATGTTCTGACAATGAATTGGAATATCTGATTTATATTAACCAAAAAAAGGAAGACATTGCTCCTAATACACTTTTTAATAAACTTGGTCCTTATAAGTCAACTAGATATCCTTTGGACAAAGGTCAAATAATACCTGAAAGTTAATTTCCACTTGTTTTATAGCCTGTGCTACTAGTAAGTATAACGACGACTTGCAACACTGATGGTTTTCTAAATATGCTAATGCATTTTGCTAGAAAAATTACGATCAAGCCACTACAGAGAGATGTTAAAAGACTTGTAGAGCTTTTCTTCAATTCTCGCCTGTCTTGGCTCTTGGCTTTATGGGTGCCAGTCCAGATGTGACTGGTGCACTACTGACAATGTCAGCCATGGATCACAAAAACATAAGGTCACTGGCAAATGACGTGCAGTAAACATTAAAACTCATTCTGCATCTTAGACAGTTAGATTTATCATGTAAAACAAATATTAAAAAGGAGATGCTACTAAGTTTCTGTTCTTTTTTTTGTTTTGAAAAAGGGCTGGTGTAGGACATCATAGAGTCGCCGGGCCTGAGATAAAGACAAAAAAACAGCAAAACATAAGAATTCTAAGTACAAATATATAGCATTAATTGCTGATATTTTTTTAAAACTGTCTCATTTAAACTTCTTGAAACAAAACAGATAAGAAACTAAGAACATAAATTACAGATCAATGAAAGGGTATTTAGTGTTATATTTTGTGGCTAAATTTAATCCTCACTAGCTGATTTATGATATGGAAAAAATAGTTGTTTTTAAAATCCCCTTAAAAATGCATTTAAACATTGCACATGCAATGAAGGAGAAATTGTCATTTCAGTTGTACTTTGGTGTTGTAAAACAAAAGTGAAAACTGTAATCTTGGACATCTGAAGATTTCTCTGTAATTACAGACACACTGTCTGATCACTTGAAGTTAGCAGAAACAAACTATGGAAGATGGGAAACACCTGATCGGAGTTCAAAGAAACTACTCATGGAACACTTAAATACTTATGTTGACTTATGTTATGTTAAGCCTCGCTTAACATTAGAGATCAGGTGTTGATGATTCACTCTACAACATAGTGGTAGTGGTGGTGCCTAAAGAATGTTCATTACCCCAAACTTATGGATAGTAAATCACCTAACAGGTGTAGGGCAGCATGGTGGCACAGTGGTTAGCAATGCAGCCACACAGATCCAGGGCCCTGGGTTCAATTCCTGGGGTACAATCTGCATAATTATGTTCTCCCTGTGTTCGTGTGGGCTTGCTGTTCTCCTCCCACAGTCCAAAGACATACTGGTAGGTTAACTGACTTCTGGTAAGTGTGTTTTGGTTTGTGTCTGCCCTGCAATGGACTGGCATCCGGTCCATGTCGAACCAGGTGTTGTGGCCCTTGCTTGCCGGAATAGGTTCTGGTGTCTCCTGTGCGCCTGTGCACTGTTTTGGACTAGTGAAGCTGTTGTATTTATTGGCAATTAACTAAATGTTGCCTTCTCTCCATGACCCTGTATTTAATAAAGCAGTTAGAAAACAGAAGACTAGATGCAATTAAATGCAGCAGACTGAAAAGAGGCATGAAAAAAATGAACATGAAAAAGCCACGAGAACTAATGACAGTGTTTTACAGATTTCTATGATAATGACAAAAATAAAGTTTGCATACAGTAGATCAGATCAAGGTTGGCAAGGCTGTCTACAGATGGTTACATGATGAAAGAAGTGAACACTATTTTGTCTCACCTTCTGGGGTCCAAGTCCTGGACAGACAGTTAAATCCTCTTTGGAAGCTTTCATTATACCATCTAGAGACTAAAAAAAATATTTGTTAATATTAAATTTAAGAATGCATGGAAATGTACAGTATGTACAGTCCCTTGCAAACTTATTGACTCCCTTTCAATTGCCCCATTGTGTTAAATTACAAATAATACATACATTATTATAAAGTAAATATTGTTGTTCAAAACATGAATGCTCACACTGGCTATTTTTCACATGAAAAAAAAATCAATGTCTGGCCTGAATCAGCAGATCTCAGATTAAGACATGGACTATAGTGATACAATACACTCTTAAGATAGCCCAGGACTAAAAATTCAGTACCTTAAGAGTGATAATGAGAACTTTAAAGACCAATCTAAATTTCACAGGAAGCCAAAGCAATTTGCAGAGAACAGGGGTTATACAGCAAAGCAGTAGCAGGGATCATAAAGATCACTGAATTATGGGCATACTTAAGTCTCTTTAGGACATTAGTAGATCCATTAGTAACATTCAAAAGTCTGGTGTTGCTGTAGGCTTTTTATTCTTTTATTTTACCAGGCACGTCATTAGAGAACAATTCTCATTTGCAATGATGATCTAGAAGCCCATTTATACAGCATTTAATGGAGCACTTTAAGTAAAGCACCCAAAAAAATCCCACTGGGACAGACCTACAACCCCCTAGAATAATAAGCTCCAGACATTACGTCACATAGTAACCACAGTTAAGACAATAGTTCTGCTCATTTGGAAAGCCTCTACCTATAATGAAGCTACTGTTTAATGATCAGTTATTTTTCAAGCAGCTTTAGCTTGAAAATGTAGTTTAGCTAGTATATTTAGTATGAATTTGCTTATTGTATAGCTGGCTACCTTCTCTGGGTGCTTTACTGTGGTTGACATAAATGACACAAAATGAAATCATGAGAACACAGAAGTCAGCCTCACAGAAAATGTTGACAGCAGAGTCAGCGCGTCCGTCCTGTTTACAGACTTCACTGTTGTCAAACAATCGGTCACCTGCAATAAGAAACAAAAGCACAATCACAATTCAGGCCTGGGAAATGAAAGAAAAAAACTCTCCAACAACTAAGGTAAAGGAAGTAAACAGTTTGTTAATGAAGGATTTTAACCTTTTGTACAGTCATTCCTGGAAGAATGATATATTTGTAATTCCCATACTCTCCAGATCTTTGATGTGCACACCTTTAGGAAACAACCTCTTACGCATTACTTCCTATGTGGCTAGATCTCCTATTATGGTTGAAATAAACACTCAACACCACAATGAATTTCAATGTTAATACAAGGAATCAAAACGGAATTATGCATTTCTGTTCTATATCAGTGTCTATCTTTAATTGTAGTGAAGTGACAATCTTACAAAAGAGAAGATGCCTGCAAACAGAAGCAAAGGCCACAGTCAAGGCTACTTCCTCTCAGTAGCCCACACGGGCACTCAGCTACATTGTGAACAGTTTTTGGATAAAAGTAGTATTCTTTTGTTTTCTGAGAGATTTGGAATAACCCTAATTGAAATTAAAAGGGTAGCTGCAGTAGCATTTATTCACAGATCACAAAATTTGTGTGAAGAGGTGACAGCTAATGGTTCACCTGGTGATAAGATTAAAGGAATGGAAAATAACATTTAAATGATTATTTTACTCATCCTGAAAAGAATCTGTTTTTAATTCAAATCTATTTTCTACAGAATACACATGTACATAGGTACCTCCAATCTAGAAACCGAAAAATTGTTTTATATATACCCTTGACCGACCAAACCTGTAGAGAAAAATAATCCAAATCAGAATCTGTAATAAAATATTAGAATGAAAATCGCTTCAAGTTTAATTTTCCCCTTTGTTCTTAATACCTTAGACAAGAAGTCTTGTTCGACGTGTTCCTTTAGAAGGTCAGCTGGCTTCTTCTCGTAGGATTTGTAAGTTTCTAGATACCGGCCAGCCTCTTCAGGGCTTATAGAGAAACAAAAAGACTACGGTTAGTGTACTGTACAATCATGTACATGGAAGTGATCACTAGCCACAACATTATACAGTTCAACAAACAATAAATCCAAGCAGGTGTGAGAACTGTCATTGTTTAAGAGAAAAGCCAGGTCAATTTCTGTTTGAAACTCAACAGCTACTGAAGCATTTAAAACTAATACTTAAACAGCGGTGAGGTGGCCCTGTGGCTAAGGATCCTGCATGTGTGTCATGGAGAGCAAGTTGATATATGCAAAAAGACAAATTCCTAATACAAGAAATTGTATAAGGCCAATAAAGGGATCTTATATCTTATCTTTAATCCTCAATATTAAGACATCTTTATTAATAGAACAAAATATTTTAACCCCAATCACCCCCCATGGTCTCAGAAAAATCCCCCTCCAAGTTTCCATCTCAAACACCACTGCATTAGTGCACTAATGCTTGACCATTCAGAATTTCCATTAAGACCTTAGCGTTATTCTGAATTATAGCAGTTATCTGAACTCTGCAACAGAAGTTATTTTTATTTTGGCCATCAACATGCATTTTAACAAGCCAGTCTGAAAACTCTCCCCACCCACGGCGATCTTTCACCTCCAGGCTAAAATGAGTGTGCAGTCAGCCAGAATACAAATCCGTGCCAGATCTTTTAGCGCATGGTGGGGGTCTTTCTGTGGGAGATAGAAAGATAGCAGAAAGAGTGGTTTGAGCAATAAAAATGAAAAGTGATGGAAACAACAACCTGAAGAGCCAACTTTGCACGTCTGAATAACCTATTACAACTTCACCTCTAGAGATTAACTTGGTATCATTAAGTGAGAACTATATTAAAGTACTTTCAGGTAGTTTTAATACTGTATAAAGACAATATTACATGTTACGTATAGCTGTTAGCAGCATAGTATAGCATGAAGGAAGGGATGACTGATAACTTACAATAAATTTCAGAATTCTATAGTAAATCGAATATAACCAGAGATAGCCGTGTATATTTCAGAGACAGTGGTCCTTGCACAGCAATCTTTAGTAGTGCAGATTTGCCATATCCCTCTTTTATCCTGATCACTATTCTGATTATTTCAAATACATTTGCATAATAGCAGAATATTTGTCTATAATGCTCATACGTTATTGTCAGAAACAGCATCTCCAATTAAACTCTCACCAGTGCCATGTTGGAAGAAGCAGGTGGTAGTTAATCTATGCAAAGTCCAACAAGATATTGGTGCATAGTCAAAGTCTATAACTGGACAGTAAGTTAAAATACAACTTACAAAAACTGAATTTTTAATTATATTATGTGGTTAAAATTCTGTGAACTTCTATTTTTCTGTAATTTCATAAAGAAAGAATAAAGCCAAAAAGTTAGTTACGAAGGTTTACTACTATGAAGCCAAATTACATTTTTTTTTGTAAACAGGAAAGGTGCATGCATACTGTAGTGTCATTGCACAGAATGATTTCTACATACTGTAGTGTTATGCCTTGGAAAATATTCAGCTCATCTCTAGGACTTTAGGTCAGGCTAGCTTCCTGCATGATACACAAATCACTTACCACATCAACCTGAACCAGCAGCACTCGCAAGGTGTATGACTGGCCCAGCTGCTTCAGCCGGTCATGGATGTAGTTTGGATTCAAATTGTGGTATCTCAGGCTGAGGGCAGATATAATTTGAGAATGAAAAGCAAAATCACATACAAGGATTAAAATGACAGTGGCAGGTGACGTGTGTTTAGCCTGAAAAGTACGAGTGGGAGTAGACCCCTTCCACACCCACCACAAGGCCACAGGGCCACCACTTCTAAGAGTTAAAGCTACCAAAAACAAAAGAAAGCCCTGTACAAAACAATCGAACCTACATTTTAGATATGGCCCACAGTCACCAACTGTATGACCTGAGCTTACATTATTTAAATGCACAATGAGATAGATTACAGCCTCACCAGAAAGTGAAAACATTAATCAAAGCACCATGGTGTTTAGAAGATAAACAGCATGTTGAGTAAACAAATTCAACACATTTATTTTAATAATGATGAAAAAGACACTAAACAAGCTGCAAAGAACATATTCTTAATACATTCGTTTATTTTTATACATGGTGCAATTTTAAAGTAGAGTGATTTCCAAATTCATATTTTATTATATTTGCAGCACAGCAACATTCTATCAAACAATTAGGTTTAAAACTTTGTGATGATGGTGGTTTTAAACTGCTATAGTTATAACTAAATAAAAAGGTTTCCTGTTGTATAAGATTATATGCAGTGTTCTGTACATTTCATGATAAATGGAATAAATTCTGGAGATTGACTTGGCCATTCTAAGATTTTCCACATTTTTTATTAGTTGCATTGGCCATGTTTTGGATCATGTCATGCAGCATAGAAGAGTTCCAGTCAAATACTTTAAGTAATGGAAGCACTACATACTGTAAGCAGACAAAATATTGATCTGAACTTTAGAATATATTTCTGTTGCTGCCATCATTAGTCACATCATCAACAAAGACCAAAGAGACAGCTCTGAGCCTACTTATAAAGCAACCAGTATGTTTTGTTGCCATATCTTGACATTGGGATTCATAGTTAAAAGTACAGAAGTTCAATCAAGGGATGCACTGGTAAGAATGCATTAAAACTACTGTCAACAATTTCGATTTCTACATTTCAAAAAAAGATATTGCTACTGTGTAACCAGATGCATTCAAGGGTTTAAAGGAATGTAATATACCAGGGGTGTCAAACATCTGGTCCTTGGGCTGGGTCTGGCCTGCCAAGCTCATTTTGTTCGGCCCATGTGGCACATGCAGTCAGAGCTTCGACTGGGATTCTATACCTGCCTTGTCTGAGCCAGAACAGCCCCCACTTTAAGGAGGTGCCCTTAGTGAAGTTACTGTAATAATTACACATACACAGAGCTCCCCACAACTCTCTAACCAGTAGCTGTGTCCCTGTTTGATGTCATTATTGATCTGAGTTTCGAGGGGTATGTCTTTGCATGAAAACAAAAACAGTGTGACTGTGTTTTTATACAACTTTAAAAGACTGATTTTGAACATGGCAATAAAGAGCCTTGTCAATGTTACTGAAGAAAATAAAAATGAAGAATGCGGTTTTGCTCAAGAGAATTGGAGAAATGTATGTGTCAAAGTGAACGGAAAGGTGATGTTTCATGTACACAACAGGTACAGTATGTCGCCAAAGAGTGGTAGTTGTAGATGTAAATGGATTCCCCTTTTTATATTGCCAAGATCTATCAAAGAGAATTTTTCCATATCCAGTGTTTTCTTGGTCATTTAATATTCCTTTAACTTTACTTTTGGTCAATTCTGTCCTCTCTTCCTCCTCTATTAATTATGAAACACAATCAGCACTTTTTCACTTATCATCACTGGTACTGAGGGTTATTCTTAATCCCTCAAGAAGCGCTAACAGATAAGGTTGAGCACTTAATCTCAGTATGTTTAATCTAAATTTCCTTCCTGCATTTAACCAATTCATACATATTGTTGCACATTTATTTTCACCTGTTGCTCAATGAAATGTTTTCGGTACTGTACTTTTCAAAAGAACTGTGATTTAGTTAGTACACAGTAATCATAACTCTTGCAGGGACAAGGTCTATTATTTCACTTATAATTAAGTGATATTAAGTATTTCAACAATCTTTGTATGCCTGGACCATGTTGCATGTTGCCTATCATTCTGTTACTGGTTGAAGACCTACCTGGGCTGAATGTCCTTTTCTCAATTGTAATCTCTTATAAAATCCATGATCAGAGAACAGTCCTAATACTATGCAATAGTTGTATGAATTATTTTAATAAATGATGGTACTTACAACCTGGAATCAAATCTTACCTATTGTAGCAAATGAGCTGCGCACTTCTGTCATACAGTGACATAACTTGATGTAAAAAATATAGCTTTCTATGTATAAAAATACAGAATAACAGTATTGTGCTTTCTTAAACAATACAGGAAGTCAAGTAATACCTACTTTGGAACTCTTTATTTATCTGTTACTTTGTTGCATTCATATATTTGAAAATAAAAACATGTTGTCATCCTACTTTAACACATAGAAGCCTGTGATTTAAATATTGCCATAATTATTTTTTAAAACCCTTCAGCACCGTTAATTGATGCACATACAGCTTTCCTGAAGTCTGGTAGTCTAATCATTCAGCGAGACGCTGTTGACTAGTTACTGACTAGTTTTGTTTTTATAATGTGTTTTATAACTAGAAAGAAAAAAATGGAACAAAACAATTAAAATCAATTCCCACCTGAGGAATAGAGCACAAGATGTCTGACCCAAGACATAATCAGGGACAACATCGCCAAACTCCCATGGAACGTTCCTCACAAACTTCAGCACAGGATTACCTCTCTGTAGCAGGTCAGAATGAAATTAGAAATGAGAACATAGTTTTAGTTTATTTAGTTTACAAGTTTTTTTCAGTCAAATTTCTACTATAGAGACCTGTATTTATATCTCAAAAGAGAAATAAAAACATACGGTTTTTCACATAGGATTGTATAAATCTAGAACAAACTACCATTTTATACTGGCACAGCTGAGGCCCTGCAAGAAATGGTTGGAGGAGATCCTCAGAATCATTAGGTATGAAAATCCAAATGAGCTGGATGGGGTGAATGTCCTTTTCTCACTTATAATATTGTTTACATTCTTATTTAAAGTCATTAAGAAATCATACTTTACACAAATCCCTATAAAGAAATCATGAGTTAAATGTCATTATTTTGGGTTTGAGACCACTGAACAAATTCTAGTCTTAACTGAAAACAACGTTTAAAAGTGCAAATGCTCACGCATTTTTCAAACATTGTGCAACATTGTGCTTTCAGACTGGACCAATACTTGAATTCAAGAATTATAATTTCACATTAAATGGATAACACTAAAAATGTGGTATTTAAAGTACATTGTAAACAACAGAAAACATCAAAATGGTTTCTGAACTTTCTCTGGAATTTGCATGTTCTCCCCATGTCTAGTGTTTTCTCTTTGTCCTCCAGTTACACCCCAGCTTCCAAACCGTGCAGGCTCTTGAAATGTCTCTGCAAGAACACTACTCTCTCTTCAGACCCTTTCCAGCCTTTAATGTCAAGTGATTTCATACAGTACAAAACAGACACAAACTTGAGATATTAGTGCAGGGAAAAGCAAGGAAAGTAGCATCAGCATTCAACACATAAAGGCGGTAGTGGAGTTTAATTCCATGCTGAAAAAGAAAAGGTTTTCATCTGTGAAGCCTATTCAGGTGTGTACAGCAGAGCAGCTATACAACAGAAGCCTGTCTGGTGTTGTGGGGAAGACAGTGGTAAAAAGAAGATGTGGTATGCTTCAGGGCAGAGAACCACGATGAATAGCCAAATTTACATACAGTATAAACATGTCCACCCCAATACTGTCACATGATGTACTACAGTATATAGTATATATCAAGGTTACAAGACATACATAACTTTCCCTTATATGATAATTAAAGTACAAATGCATTGACTTTCATTTAATTTAGATAACACTAATACATTTAAAAAAAATAATCACAAACACGTAGCAATCAGTTAAAAAAAAGCTATATGAATTTCTCCTCTGCACGTAGCCTGCAGTTTCTCTCTCTGCCTCTGGGATAAACACATCCCACTGTAATGAATCGGGCAATAAAACTGTTAGAGAGCCTGTAAAGCCATCTCCTGCCTGTCATTTCCCAAACTATCAACACAACTGGGAGCGATCATTACAATATAAAAAAAAAGAAAAAGTTGAGATGGTGATGTTATGTGAGGGGTACAGAGACAAGTGGCAGGGTGAGGCTCACTCACTAGCTAGTCTGTTGTGCTGTAGGGCCTGTCAAGACCTTACTGTAATTAGAAATGTGAGGGGCAGATCCAGGAGATGAAAAAAAAAGACTAGTTTATGTTACATGTTGGGGGAATGTATGAATCCAGTCCAATGGGTTCTGATATCTTTTTAGCTCAAGTGTCTTTGAATCCTTGTAACGTGACACGAGGCGAATGTGATCATGGCTGGGAGAAGCACCAGCCTGAACTTAAAAGATGGAAACTACTTTAGGGAAGAGCTGCAGAGTGAGGAGTTATCAGTAAACCTACCACCATCAATGGATTCAAGTGCTGTAAAAACAGCAGAATCACCCCCCCCAAACACCAGCCAGGCAAAAAAACATTAGCTTATGGCCTGGAGCAACAGTGGTAGAGGGACTAATGGGAAGAACATAATCCTGTCAAACGACAAGCTAAGCCACCCAAGCAGTATCTATCACCAGAGGGGAAATGAACTAGCATGACGATAGCTGACCATAACTAAGGGCTGTCTTAAACCCCTGATATTAAACAGGTAAAGGCAAAAACACAAAGTTGTTAATTGCAATGAAAAGGTAATTCCTTAAACTCACAACAGCAAACTTATGTTTGGTACTTTAACTCAGATAGTTGGCTTTTTTTTTTATTTGTAAGTAAAAAGTAAAACACTAAAGCCTTGGAGAGCTCTTCGATCTGAACTATTCTTATGTTCTCTGAAACAGTCCAATTTACATGGCTTCACAGTCCAAACATTGTTTTACTTTGGTTTGGCAATAACTTCGGCTTGTCTGAAAAGTACCAGAACCCTTACCTGTCTGGGGCTAACCACAATGCTGTTCCCAGTACCCGGCAGTTTCACGACACTGGTGGAGCTAGATTCTTCTCTTTGGGGCTCATTCTGTTCAGACAGAGCTCCCTTTTTCAGCTGCTCCTCTGCAGGCAGGCTCTTGGTCTGACACTGCCCATGTTCCAATACCTCAGTCTCGACTGTACAATTTTCAGGCTTCCCATCCTGCTTGGCCACCGACACCCCAGCAACTCCACCTCCACCCACCGGAGCAGGGTCCTCCCTCTGGGGTTGGGGTGCAGTTGGTAAGGGAGGTGCAGCATTCCGCTGGACGATAAATTGTGCGTAGGATAGCGTCTGGCCAGATGCGAGACCCACTGGAGGATTCAAAGCTTCAGTTGCATTTGCCCCCTCTCCACCTTTTCCTGAGGGTTTAAATAAGGGTTTCACCTGTAAAGCAAAACTCAAGTTATTTAACAGCCTTTGTAAACCAAAGATCATAGTTTCATTGTATTAACTGGCTGCAAAATGTACAACTAAATTAATTGGAACAAGTAAAGGCTTATTCATGTGGGTAGCTGCGTCAGCATGCGTAGGCTACAAAGGAACAATAGGTTTATTCCATGCTGAAAAAAAGAAAGAAAACACAACGTTTCGGCCCTGGAGCCTTCTTCAGGTGTGAGCACACCTATTACCCATCACTTGTTCCTTTAAGGCTTATTCATGCTGAAACAGAAGAAAAGAAACAATGGCTTCTCCACACTCAAAACGTTGTGCATCTTTTCTTCTCTTTTCAGCATTGAATAAACCTTAACTTGTTCCTCTGCAGCATATGCATGCTGATGCAGCTACCTACTTGGACTACTAAAGATCTACACAAAGGTCCATCAAATGTTTTGTTGTTCACAATTTCGCACCTCTAAGTGGATTACTAGAAACCTAGAATTTAGGTGCCATACAAAAGGTGAAAACAGGTGTGATGTGCTCTCCCAAAGCCAGTCTCTTTGAGATTACAAATTATAATGCTGAAAATTATTGTAATCTAGTACAACTGTTCTTGAGTATACTAAAATAAGGCGTTATAAGGCTACAGAAGACAATTGCAGATTTTAGATTAAATTTAAGTAGAGAAATACATTTGGGGTTTGTGGGCAAGACAAATGTTTGCACCAAGTACTGAACCCTAAGAGCTTGATTTTGAGATACAAAAGATATATTACTTTATGATAGATTACTTCACAAATTAAATAAAATACAGAACATTGTCCTCAAGTTTAATACTATGATTTAAGTAAAAAATATGGTTTGCTAAAGCACATAAAGGATGCAAACAAGGAGGCATTTTGGCCTTTTTTTGGCGTATTAGTTTAGTCCAACTGTTTCTATATATGCTCAGAAAAGGATAAATATTAGGACAAATGAAACTACAGGTACAGTACCAGTAAGATAACTGACTATATGTAGCATTTCTATTTTGGGGGGGAATAAGAAAAAAGGAAGTCTACCTGGATAATGCTCATCGAAAAACGGCATTTTCCTATTTTACAACAGATCGTGCGTAACATCAGGTACATGTAAATATATGTGAATTTATTCCAGTTACAATTTGTTAAATACGCATTTAAAATATTTTTTTCATTGGGATTTTCCCTAAAATGACCCATAATATTTCCAGCTGGTGGTATTATTTTACAATAAATGTTTCAGTTAAAGTTTGCGCTAATTAAACGTTTTGGAGACTTTTAAATCTACATTCAAGACCTTTTCAGTACATATACAAGTTAAAAATCAATATCTAAACCTAATCTTTAGAAGCACCGCGTTAATCCGATATGTGCCGGACGACCTTGGCTCCTTTGTGACTTTAAGAACTCAATTTTAACATTTTAAAGACTTAAATAGAATGCACAATATGTAACACTAGTTATAACGTTTACGTAACTGTTTTATAAATTGTTCTCCCTATTCTATTAACAAATACTGTACCTTTATGCACCAAATATATGAAATAACGAGAAACCCTGTTAGAAAACATAATCCCCTAGCCTCTCACGTATCGAGTATCTGTACCTAAGAAATTACAATATGATTGAAAATAGCTACCGGTGTTTTTTCTTTAGAAAAAATAGAATCATCCAAATTGATATTGAATTTCTTCTTCTCCATTCCATAAAAATGAAACAAAGCAAATAAAAGAGTTTGGAGAGGCGTTTTATAAATAAAAGTTGTTGTTGTTGTTGTTATTAGTAAACGTGTTTTTGTAGGTCTAAAAAAACAGGATTCCCCAAGAGCGCCGCCATAACAGTGAGAACAAGCTGCCAAATCTCGCAAGTCTCGCGATACCATGTCAAGAGCCATGCAAAAGGAATAGAAATTGAACATGCTACTGTAGGTATTCCAGAGAAAGAAAACGAATCTGCCATATTGCTACGGTCTTTTCCTAAACCTAACAACATGAGATTAAGATATGATGAATATTTACTGTCTGATTTCTGAGAAATCTGTCTTGAACTGAAACATTTTCCACACAACGTTTTGAATTAATTTTATTATACAAAAATATAGCAATCAAAGGCAAATACATACAAATGTAAGAATATACATATACAAAGGGAACATCAAATGAAGAAAGCAGAGCAACAAACCAGTTATCAGTTAGAACCGTATCACACTCAACAAGATTAAATTAGGGGGTCACATTAAATAATCTTTTTATGTGCTAAGATGTTTCTGTACTCCAGTTCTCCGAGGGTATTTTTAGATATTTTTAAAGAATCTGAGTACAACTTAAACAAATGTGGAAATTCTTTGAATCCCACAGAACTTTTACACAGTCTACACTTACTGTATGTATATAAACGTTTGCCAACGTGAGAATGACATTTAATATTAAAAAAGCTTCTTTGTTTTTATTCAGAATTCCAAGAACAATATTCTTAAAAGTTCATTTTAATAAAAAATAAAAAATGCTAAGATTTATACAAATTCTACTATTACTTAACCAAATACAGATAGAGTGCCAGAAAGTTGTTGTATGATGACATGAGAGAAAAAAGTGTTCAGTTGTTTCCGGATGAGATTAACAAAAATTGTAAGTGTTACAGTGAAAGTTAAACCTTTTATGGAGAATTCCTTAGAAGGATATATGTTGTTAAGTATTTTAAAATGCATATCTTTAGTTTTTGGGAGAGTGGGAAAAGTAATATATTCTGTTCAAGCACTAATTACAGATTCATCATCTATATCATCAAAAATTACTTTCTCGTTGGTGGTAGGGAAGAATATCTCAGCCATAGTTGTCCAGATGTGCTTATTATCACCTTTCCTCTCCCAAATATTGTAAGTTCCTATTTTGACCTGTGGTAATAGTACATTTATATTATTATAAGATATAGAATTTCTTATTAGGGCCAAAAAGCAGTTGGAATTAAATTTATAATTTCTTTACTTTTTTACAGGCTACATACTGTATCTTTTGAGTGAGATCGATGAAAATTGTTTTAAAGACCCACCTGATATGGGAACGGCCAGTTCTGTGTTTTCAAGTTTCGGCTGGCAGCTGTGGACCCTGTGACCGCACATGGGGGACAATGTGGAAGTGCAGGCAGACTCCTCTGCCCTGCCCACCTTCAGTCATTTGTCACACATCACAGGCACCACAGGTCCATGTTGGAGGTTCAGCATTGGTTGAGGGGAAGCGAGACCCTAGCAGACAGCACATGCCAGTGCCCAGTAGGCCACATGTGTCACTGTGTCATTGAAAGAACCCTGGTCAACCACTCCTACCCTACCTTTGTCAGCACCTAGCCAACTCTTCAGGAATCCCAGCCACAGTTGAATAGTGACATCACCTTGAACCCGTTAGCAGTGAGCTCTGCCTGCTCTCTGGCAAGCACTTTTGCTAGTTGAGCCACTCAGGACACAGTTCAGCACAGGTTTAACAAGCCTTGTTGTCAAGAGTTACTTATATTGATCTTGCTGACATACAGTGTTGATCACTGCTGATTCTAATGAGCATGTCTGTCAGGCTGTCTGAGAAAAGATAAGTTGTCATATAACATTATAAGGACCTGTATAATTCTTGTTTAAAGAAAAAATTCCTCAACACAGTAAAGGAATTGCAAAGACTAGAAGACTTCCTTTTAAGATGTTTTAAGTGTCAAACCTGAAACACTCTTGTTTCTTCCTGTATGATTTTGAATATATATCCTTCAAAGCTGAATCTTTCAGACACCTGAACTAATGAAGAAAACAGGATTCACATGCAGTTCTGACAAGTCTTGTCAGTTCTGTTTCTCAGTATTTCTCTTCCAGGAATCCCCGGCTAAAGGTGACAGAGGGACTTATTGACAAAATGAGTAAAGTGGAGGATGGTTCCATAGAGACAGACCTGGACAGAATTGAAGAGCTTCTAAACCTTCCCAGAAATGAAGAAGCCTCTGCTAGCAAGTGATTTATATTTTCACTGGGTAACAGTCCAGTGTCCCCCTTTATTTGGTGGAGTTAAGTCACTTTTAAGGGTTACCTGTTCAGCTCTGTAAGAAGACTTCTTGTCTCATGTTTTCCTCACCTCTTTTTTTGTAACCAGCCTATCCTCGGAGAGTTCTCCAGGTATACGACTGAAAGGGCATACTGTGGAGGAGCAAGCGTTTCACCTTCATTTTCCTCAGGACTTTGCAAGAACCTTGCAGGAGTTCTGTCAGTAGAGGGAAGGCTGTACAGGAAATGTGCCAACACAAGAAATCCTGTTTACTTGATCCATGGACAGTGGAGAGTGATCAACATTATCCATAATCACTAACAGTGTCACTGCCGTTGTCTCACTGGAAGAGGGAAATGGTCAGAGCTCGGCGTGTTTGATTGACAAAGGAGCTTTACATTTTATATTCTTTGTGTAGAATGATCTTGAGAAAAGGACATCAACAGGGAGAAAATAATGGACATCATACCTGGTTCACTATTACACAGAGCAGATATACAGTACTGTACATTTTAACAAAATCACTCTGTAACATTTTCTAGCTATTTTAGGCTTTGTAAATGCTAAACTGTCCCTTGTAAAGTACCCTCACTTCAATGATGTACAAATACTGTAACAAGTGTGAACAATTACAAGAAATTTGGTAAGTGATATTGGATAGAGAAATACATTTTTAAGACAGAACTTGGAAGAGCATGTAAGAAAAATAGTCATTTAAATGAAATCCACCATATTCCTGGGATGTTTTGCAATTTTTGAAGGTGACCTGGAGTGTAATAGTTGGTGCAGCTGAACTGGTGTTTAGAAGGTCTTTGGAATTTGAAGTGGTGCTAAGAAGCTGTATACCCATAATACACATAATGACTTATTAATTGCGTATTTTGTACATCCATTTTCTAAACACTTCGTCCAGTTCAGGGCTGTAGGGGAGCTGGAGCTTCAGTGAGCAATAGACAAGAGGCGGGGTACACCTTGGATGGGACGCCAGTCCATCACAGGGCACACAGAAGGTCCAATTTTCCCATAAGCCAATTAACCTACTAGTATATCCTTGGACTGTGGGGAGAAACCAGATGACTCAGGGAAAACCCATGCAAACACTTTGAGAACATACAGACTCCATACAGATAGCACCCCAAGTCCGAAATGAAATATGAGCTGGGAGATGGATCCAGAGTGTTGGAGCACCAGAGGAGGAAGCCTGGCCTCCCAGTGTTCACATCCTCTTTGTGGGAACTAGAAGAAGTTTATTGCCATATGTACATTGAACAGCAATATGTACATTGGAATTCTTATTTATGATGATCACTCAGGACATGTACAGTACAAAAGACAACATAATAAATAATACCAATTTATTATTATTAATAAAAAAGAGTAATAAATATGTTGTACAGAAATATACATTAGTAGTGGAAGAAAAACATGGCAGACCATGCAAAAAGTGCATATTGCAGATGTGAATTGAGTCTGAGGATTTGTACTTAGCTGTGTGGGTACTGCAGTTACCACTACCAGTTACCATTTTACAGATGTAGTCAGATGTACAGTAGAAGGTGCTGAAGGTGCTTGGCTGTATTTTTAAAATTTTATTCTGAAATCCACTCTAAGAAAGCTAAAATAGGTAACACATTTGTGCATTTTAATTTTGGTTAAAATCTGAACAAGTGAGTTCTGTACATGTTGCAACCTGTTAAAAACATTTTCCAATATATTTGTATACAATACCACACACTGCATTACAGCGAAGCCTAGAAAAAATATGCAGGTAATGTGTTAGCTACCATCCATTAAAGATTGATTTAGAACACTTTTTATTGCTATTCATCACTTATCTTTGTTACATCTGAGAATGTATAAATCTTCATTTTAATTGTACCCTTAAGAAGTACAGGAATTTGCAAAACCCGGAAAACAATAAACATTTTTATTGATGTTGCCAGCAGCCATATCACTCTGCAACTCACAACTGGCAACCCACTAAAGCTAAGCAGGTGTGAAACGGGTTAGTACCTAGATGGGAGACATCCTGGCAAAAACTAAGGTTACTGCTGGAAGAGGTGTTAGTGGGGCCAGCAGGGGAAGCTCACCCTGCGGTCCATGTGGGTCATAATGCCCCAGTATAGTGACAGGGACACTATACTTAAAAAAAGGCGCCATCGTTAGGATGAAACGTTACACCGAGGTCCTGACTCTCTGTGGTCATTAGAAAACCCAGGGCATTTCTCAAAAAGAGTAGGGGTGTAACCCCAGAGTCCTGGTCAAATTTCCCATTGGCCCTTACCAATCATGGTTCGTAATAATCTCCATCTATGAATTGTCTCTTTATCATTACTCTGCTCTCCTCCCCACTAATAGCTGATGTGTGGTGAGCGTTCTGGCACACTATGGCTGCCATCGCATCATCCAGGTGGATGCTGCACATTGGTGGTGGTGGAGGGGAGTCCCCATTACCTGTGAAGTGCTTTGAGTGGAGTGTCCAGAAAAGCGCTATATAAGTGTAAAGGAACAAGTAATAGGTTTATTCCATGCTGAAAAAAAGAAGAAAGAGAACACAATGTTTCGGCCGTGGAGCCTTCTTCACGTGAGAGAGACAAGGCAGTGGGCAAAGGTAATGTAGCAGGAGAACAAAAGGACAGAAAGAGAGGCCAATCAAGAGGTGTGAAATGAAACTTCCAATGAATGGAGAAAATTTTAAAGAATAGTAGTCTGTCGTTAAGAGAAGGTAGAAGGTGTGATCCTAGCTGCAGAATAATTTTGGTTTCGGTAGTCTTTCTGATGTATGAGTTCGGGAAAAACATCTTTGAGAACACAGACGGAGAGATTAGATTCTT